ATTGAGACCTACTATATGCCATGCATGGGGCTAAGAGCTTTACAGAAGTGATCATTTAATCTTTACAAAGGCCTTAGGAGAAAAAATTATTATACCCATTTTGAAGATGAGGAAATGAGCACTTCTGGATTAGGTTACTCACCCAAGGTCATAGCCACCAGGTGACATAGCCTGAATTCCAATTGGACTCTGCAGACTCCATAGTACATCTGCTTATACACTGGTTCTCTGCACACTCTCTTTGGGCCTTGTCTGGCAAGCCCCAAAGCCCAGACTTATTTGTTTACTTGCTCCCTCCTCCCTCCTTACCAAAAAGCAATATGACGTATCGGTTAAACTCATGGACTCAAGAATCCTAGGTACAAATGCCAGCCCCTCCTTAGCTGTGTGACCTCTCTGTGCCTTACTCTCCATGTCTATAAAATGGAGATAATTATATATAGTGCCCATCTCCTAGGATTCTATCTTGATGATATGCCTATCTCCTAAGGTTCTTGTAAAGAGATTCTATGAGTACAGCACTGCAAATGGTACCAGGCACATGATCATGTCCTTATTGTTGTTGTTACTGAAATAAAAGGAACCAGTGCCTACTCCCAGGATGCTCAGAGTATCCAACAGGGCTTTTCTGTTCCCAGGCTCTCATATTTCCTTGTTTTCCCCCTCTGCTCTGGCCCTACTGCTACCTTGGGATCTTGTGGCTTCCATGGGAAATCAGAAAATTCCTAGCAGACCCCAAAAGGTGAGATGAATGCAGCTGAAAAGGAACTAGTGGGGCCAAGAAAAACCAGAGGCTAATGTCTAGATCCAAGGTCTGAAATACGAAGTGTGGACTCCACTTCTGTGTTTCTTTTCTTGGGTGATTTTCATATGCACAAACCATGTGCCTGATGTCCAAATGACTTGGAGACATAGAATAAGCCATTTTGTTTCCTCAGGGAAACAGGATGTCCTGTGCTAACTCTTCTTCCTTCAGGGTCTGGATCAGAGTGCATAATAATGAATGCAACTGGGGCCATCCCACCAGGGAAAACTTCAGGAAAACAAAGGATTACCCAACTGTATGGCAAGTGTAGTCCTCAGGGCCACGTGCTTTGGAGGCCCAGGACACTGGAGGAGCTGCATAAAACACCAGTTTTGCGGTAGGTAAGACCTGGTTTCATTCCAGTTCAGCCATTTATTAGCTGTGTGACCCTGGGAAGATATACCTCTCTGAAGATCAGTTTCCTCCTCTGTATAATGGGTTGTAAAAATCCCTACTTTTTTGACAGTTGGGAGGATTAAATGTTTTCAAATACATGCCTGGCACCCCACTGATGCAAAGCAAGAAAAGGTGATTCCTTTTCCCCATGTCTTCTTGTGGTAGACTGATTATAAAGAAAAGATGCTCTTAATTTTAAACTTTAAAAAATATAAGAGTGCTGTACCTTGTGCTATAAGGGGTTTCACTCAAGGTATATCACTTCACAATAGTAGTTAAAACTATCATTTATTGAGTGCTTATCCTGAGCCAATATCATGCTTTACGAATGTGAATGCATTTAAATCCTCATCACAACCCTTATATATCTGCCCTATTTTATGGATGAGAAATCTGAAGTTCCAAAAGAGCAGGGCTAGGATTGGATCTGCCACCTCCAACACCCATGCTCTTCACGGCTGTGATGAACACTCAAGAAAGGACCCTCAAGCCTCCATCAGAGACCTCTACTTTGTCTCCTTGGCTTTCTCTACCACTAAGCTGTAAGATGGATCCCTATGGGCAGGGCCAGGTTCCATCTTATTCTCCACTGTATCTCCTGGAACTTAGCAGTGGCTCAATAAGTATTTGTTAACTGAATAAATGGGTGATGTATTAACAGCATGAGTTCAGGCCCATCTTCCTTGCCCTAAAGGGCAGCAAGTACATGTTCTGCAAAAGCACCATCCCCCTCCTTGAGGGCTCAAGAAGTGCTGCAGCAATCATGGAATTAGGAGAACTGGTCCAAGCCGGCAGCATATTTTGCTGACACCTGTTTTGAAATAACCAGGCCTTTGAACATGTTGTCCCAGCACTCCCAGCACCATTTCAGGGGACTTACAGCTCCATAGAAGCTATCCCAGGAGACCAACCAGCTACATCTGACCACCTATAGCAACCATCCAGGTCTGTTAGATGCCAATCTGTCCTAGAGATTGGCTGAGGGTGAGTTGGAACTTGGCTGGGCTCCAAGTTCTGGATACCCTATGGCAGGGGTCCCCAACCCCTGGGGCCACAGATCGGTACTGGTCTGTGGCCTGTTAGGAACAGGCATGCACAGCAGGAGGTGAGTGGCAGGCAAGCAGTGAAGCTTTGCTTGCATTACCACCTGAGCTCTGCCTCCTGTCTCCCCCCAACTCCACTGGCACATCCATGGAAAAATTGTTTTCCATGAAACTGGTCCCAGATGCCATAAAAGTTGGGTACCCACTGCCCTGTGGGCTCTCACCGGCCATATCAAGACACAAAGAAGGTCTCCCTAGCCAACAAGATCCCTTATTTATGCTAAGAAACTTCCAAGGATGTGTTAAAGAGGAGCAATGTCTGTTTGATTTACTTCAAGTCTGCTATCACCCAGATGGGTCAGAGTGACTAAGAAAGGAACTGTGCCACAGGCTCTGAGTGAAGTCACTCATGCAGAAGTGACTAACTCAGAAGCCACCAGAGATCCCAACCAACCACAAAGGCCCTGTGCAGCCATGTGGAACAGAATCTGGCAACAGGAGGCTCATAAGTCAACCATTCAAACCTTGTTCCCTACACCACGTGTCCTGAAATATCTCATCTGGCCTGGAGTGGAGGCTAGTGGGATGGGGGACTCAAGTCCAAGTAATCACCCCATTAAGTATGTGCTGGATACCTACAGGTTCACATCTGCCACCTTAGGAGTTCACAGCTAGTGTGGATTCAGGCAATAGCACAGGTATGTAAGTAGAATTTACCTAGACTTTGACAAAGTCCCCTCTATAGGTGCTACAGTACCCATGATGAGGCAGTCCAAGGCAGAGGAGCATCCTCCAAGTTGCTTTTTTTTTTTTAAGAGATAGAAGGTAAGGAGACAGACAGGGAGAGAAACATCGATGTATGAGAGAAACATTGACTGGTTGCCTCCTGACAGCCCCCAATGGGGGACCTGGTCTGCAATCCAGGCATGTGCCCTGACTGGAAATCGAACCAGTAACCTTTCAGTTTGCAGGTTGATGCTCATGCCACTGAGCCACACCAGCCAGGCCCCGAACGGCTCTTCATTAAACAGTCTGCACTTTGGCTAGCTACCTCATCTCTGTTCCCCCTAATCCAGGCCTTGTAGTACTCAGGAGGTACCCTCCTCCCCCAAGACTAAGAGTAATGAGATTGGGTAACAGTGGGCAGGGAGACAGAGAAAAATAGAGACATCAAGAGAAAAGAAAAGGCCTGAACTGGACACCTGATGGTTTTTCCTGCTCAGTATTCATTCATTACCACTTCTGGCAAAATCACTACCCCCAACCCCAATACCACTACCAGGCACTAAGTCTCAGTCCACATGGCTAAGTATGTGCCCCAGGCTTAAGTAATCAGTGTATTCCATCTTCCAGCCACAATGATTCCTTGAGGTTGGATACCTCCCTGGTTTGGAGCAATGACAGCCAGGTCCAAGGGGTTTGTCCGGGTTCGGGAAGTCTTTCTACCAGTATCAAGCTGTGGGGGTCACTCATGAAGCCTGAGAAGAAAGTCAACTCAAAGCAGCATGGAGAGCTGAAGAAAGACAGGTCCCTAATGACACTGTTGTGAGTCCCAGGATCCATCTTGACAGCCAATCTAGCCCTGACCTTATCAGCTATATTAGCCAGTAAATCCCTCCTCTGCCATAAACCAATTGGAAAGGGTCCCTCTCCCATCTGCCTGCTCTACTGGGAATACTCAGAGAACAAAAAGACTCATGAAGGTAATTGTCTGATGACAGATTGTCCCCAGGTAAGAGCTACCATGGAGACAGAATCCAGCTAGCCTTTCCCAGGACACATAATTACAACTATCAACACACTTTCAAAGAGTATCAGTTCATAATTACAGACTCGTCTTATAGTAGATGTTTGGTCTTCTCAGCACCTTGCTCTGTTAATGGGCTATGCTGTTTCTCCACCATGGTGGGCTGAAGGAAAAGTCTTGACCCAGATCAGGGTTATCAGAGTGCCGCACACCCTTGGCCACACTAAGTGATCAAAAAGGGCAGGGGACTCATGACAAACCACTGAGAACCTTTCTCTGGGATTTTCCAAATTGGAACTGGAGGGAAGAAACCTTTCTTTCAGGGGCACCAAGTTGGGAGATATAAGTCTGGAGCTGTCAGCTACCACCTGCCCCAATGCTTGGAGAAAGCCCACTTACAGTAGGAGAAAAGGAAGCCAAGACACAGGTCTCGGAGAGCTTGCCTTCTCTGATGTCCTCAGTTTTCGCTCCCCAGCTAGGGACTAAATTTATAATCTACCTTATAGCTCAATGTTGCCATGTGACAAGATAGTAGGAACTTGGGGGCCTGGTGACATGGTAGAGACACCTACCCACCTGCCTATCCCGGCACTGTTAAGAGAGAAATGACCTATCTGAGCCACTGTATTTTCATGATCTCCTTGTTATAGCAGGCCTAGTCCGTACTTTTATTAATGTGAAGATGAAAAAGATATAAAAACAAACAGCTCTGATGGGGTTTAAATCTCTGAATATCACTGTCCTTTCAATATGATATTATAACTTTGGAAGTGCCTTCTCCATGCCAGAAACTATCCTTAATGTCTGCATTTAACCCATACCAATGCGACGGAGTGCCACTGTAATTCCCACTGTACAGCTCAGCGACTGAGTAGCTTACCTGAGGTTCAAATCCCACTGCCTCCCAAGCTTGTTTTTTCCATGATTTGTTGTGTAAGTCAATACAACTCCCCGCCTTTTTTTTTTTGGCTTAAACCAGTTCAAGCTAGATTTCTGTCACTGTAACAAAGCAGTTCTAATTGGATTTTTATTTCATCTAGTTTGTACATTCCTCTATGGAGTGCCAACTATATGATGCAGCATTTTCAGACACTATTAATGACTGCAAGCCAGACAATTCTCCAGACACCTGCTCCCATTTAACCATTCAGACCACAAGTGTAGCTACAAGACAACAGGGCACAATACAAGGAGACTGTCTTCTCAGAGGAAACACTAGACTTCCTGCCTGTAGCAGACATCATTAGATGGTTCACCCAAAACTCATTCTCAATCCCCCTTCTCCCTGCCTGCCTGAAAAACCAAAATACTCACTTTCTCAGCTTTCTCTACAGCCAGATAATGCAACTTGGGGCAATGAAAGGTATAACAGGCAGAGATTCCTGCACAGTAATTAAAAGTATGGGTTCACCAAAATGTTGTGGGTTTGATTTCGGGTCAGGGCACATACCTAGGTTGCAGGTTTGATCCCTGATAGGGGCACATATGGGAGGCAACTGATCAATGTTTCCCTCTGTCTATCCCTCTCTCTAAAAATGAATAAATATATCCTTGGGTGAGGATTAAAAAAAAGTACGGGCTCTAGAGACAGAATGCCTAGGTTTACCACTGCATTAAGTATATAAAGTTGGGCACTCAATCTCTGTTTCTTGAGGAGAATAAGTGCACAGATCTTGTGGTGGTTGTGGAGATCAGAGGAATTAATAAATGTAAAGAACTCAGAAGAGTATCTGGTATGTGGTAAACACTCTGTGTTGGCATTTGATATTTAATCACCTATACATGCTAATACGGAGCAATCTCTAAGATAGATTGTTAAGTCAGAGCAGAGAGGTGCAAAACAGCACAGCTCATGTTTGATCATATTTGTACGAATGTGGAGAGGCTGGGGTGTACATATACACATACCTGCTTGCGCATATGCAGACTACCTCTGCCAGGAGAGACCAGAACCTGTTCAGGGTGGTGGCCTCTGGGGCTCTGAACTGGGAGGACTTACTTCATTACATGTCCTTTCTTAACTAGATCAGACTTTTGGAATCATATACTTGAGTTACTTAAAGATTTTCAAACTGTTTTGTTTTAAGAGGCTTAACCCTCCTCACTTTGTGGGTTGTTCACCAACAAAATGGACAGACAAAAATTATGGCAATTATATCTCAATAAAACTGTAAAAGATTACAAAGGAAATGGACAGTTAGTCGCTTATAGTAGCAAGTATTCAAACACAGGTGGGATGGTAATGTTGGACATGCCCTGGAAGATTTCTCTAATGAACAAGAGGTTATATTTTGCCAACTTGAACATTCACCTGTTTGGTGGCACAAAAGGAGAACAGGGCTGGAGGAGAGGCCAGGATATGATAAAAAATGATGCAACCATCACTGACTGCTTGTATTAGACAGGATGCACAGCAGGGGTGCTCTAAGGGCAAGCTTGTCCCATCTGAAGAGCATGGGCTGTGGAGCCAGACAGATATGGCTGTGACTCCTGGGCCAGCCACTTCCTCACTGTATGCACTGGACCACATTAACTAATACTCTCATCTGTAAAATGTGAGCCATGAGCAGGCTAGTGAATGTAAAGCCCACAGCAGGGTACCAGGCACATAGTGAAGTGCCTGAGGAATAGAGATAGCCATCAACAGAGGGGGAGAGTGATCAACTTTAAATAACTTGTTTGGTTGTCAATCTTTTAATGTACAAACATAAAAAAAAAAATGACAAACCAGAAAGCAGTTTTACACTGAATGAGTGGAGATAATTATATATAGTTGTCAACCCCATAAATGGATACTGAGTCAGTACAGTGCCTGCTAGATCCAAGGCTAAACAGTTCCATGGAGAACCAGAGCACTCATAGGAGAATCAGAGCATTAAGCAAGGCCAACATTCTCAGGACTTCACTTCTAAATCTTCCTTCTAAACCAAGAAGTCAGAGCAGAACCAGGGAGGACTGTACTATTAGCCAGAAGACAGTAAGGATGGTATTGGCAACTTCACTGACTGCTTGGGACTCTTGTGCCACATAGTGATTTTAAGAGGCCCCAGTATATACATGTGATTGGGCCAGAGTACAGATATTTTGGTGAAGTTTATGGCAATTAAAGGGAGGGTTTTATGGCAGGGAACAGATATCACAAATGCTATGTCTTCAATGAAATAAGGCATATACGGCTGCCTGCAAATACCTTGAAGCAAGGAATGGCTGCCAGACTAGTCCATCCTCATGGGAGATTCAAACCTGGGACTTCGCAAAAATAAAATCTGGGTGCTAAGGATCCCCCTTCTAGTAAAAGCCAAAGGCCCTACAACAGAATGTTAAGTCTTTTCTCAGTCACCCTTGGTTAAAATGACAGTTGAAGTCATCTGGGAAAAAAGAGAAATACCACCACCACCCCTTTCTCATTTCAGTAGCCAACATGAATCGGAAGCTTTTCAAGCCATGAATACTTTTTCTTCATGATTATAAGCAATTGTGGCAACTGGCCAAATATGTTAGCAGCCAGCAAGCTTAGAGTGACCCTGTGAGTGGTGCTCACTGTGGGAATTTATGGCCATGAACTACATACCAGCTTTGTAACTACCATGCTGGGACAGACTGCTCTGCTCTGCAGCCAGCCTCAGGTAGGCCCCAGCCATCCACAGGACCAAGGGTGGGAGCATTGGGAGCAGATGATTCTGTGCTCCACATATAATGAATGGTATGAAGTGACTGTTAATAGATACAGTTTAAGCAGAGCATTTGGAGACAACTCTTCCAGACATTCTATATTAAAGTCTTAAGAGCTTAGACTGAGGATGATTAAGAAATTCCAAAGAATTAAACAAAAACCCAACAACAACAAAAAAGGATGGGTAGAAGGTGTCAAAGACACAAGAGATCTTTGTAGATGTTGACTGGCTCACTTTGTCCCCAAGTTTATCTTAGAGCTCAAGCGAATTCAAGACATGAGGCAGAGACATTAGACCTGTGTCAAAGGCAAAAACTTCTGATAGTAGCTCTTGGTGACGTCAATCATCAGCTCCTGGGTACATTCTGGGAGCTCCCCTGAGAAGAGTCCTGGGGAAAGAAAGACCTGGTCAACCATGGGGAGTCAGGGGAGGTCTGCAGCTCTGATTCCTGTTTAAACCCCACAGGGGCCCTTTTCTTTAGTCACAAAATGTTGAAATGCTAGGTTTTTCCATCTTTGGTACAGAATATTTCCACTGATCTTCTAGATGATAAGAATTTTTGTGTTGGGGGGTAATAAAAAATATTGTTCTCAAAATGGAGAAATATATTCCAGGTAAAAGACCTTAGTACATTATTACATGATCTGAAGAGTTAAAACAACTCTGACTACGTTGGAGGTTGCTCCAGACAAAGACTTGTCCATCCTTTGGATTCTGGTGTGATACTTCCTGGGCAAGCCAAGGTGAACACTCTTGAAGAAAAAAACTGCCCTGTTATCCAGACAATGAAATGAATCCAACATCCACCAGACAATATATAGGTGGGAATACAACAGAAATGTCCTATAGGAAAACAAAAGGTGAACATCATATTGAAGAATATCCGGGAAAGAGGCACTCTCCTACACTATGGGTGAAAGTGCAAACTCATACAATTATTTTGAAGAGCAATTTAGGAATATCTAGCAAAAGTTTTAAAAGTTCATACCTTGTGACCTGACAATCCAACTTCAAGTATTTGTCCCACAGATAATGTTGCCCAATTGAACAATATATGTACAAGAGCATCAATGCAGCAGTTTCTAATTGTGAATAACCAGGTACTATACAATTTCTAACGACACCCTATACCAGGGCACAGGCTATTTACATTGTGCTACATTTATGCAATGAAAAACACATAACCATTAAAAGAAATGAAGTGAATCTCTACATACTGACAAGAAAAAAATGCCTAAGATGTACTGTTAAGAAATCAAGTTTCCATACAGAATAAAATATTGGGCTTCTGTTCATAAGCAGCCATGATGGGCTATTACTTCAATTATGTCCATGATCTGCCTGGCTTCTAGGAGCCTGAGTTTTGGTTCCTGACCCAGATTCTCTCTAAATAAGTTGCCTCTCACTTTGTTCCAAGACTCAGTTTCATGGGATGGAGCTCGGCAAAAATGAGCTGGTTTTCCTGCAACCCTGTGCCTCTTACTAAAGATGGAAACTGACAATTGTAGCATTTAGATGGTTAGTATTTTTTGTGAAACTATGTAAAATGAATATGGGAAGTATCTTGTCACAGTGCAAAAAGTACTAAACTCTAAATAGGGGGTCTAACTGCTCATCAAGGCTTCCCCACTAACCAGCTCTCACGCCTTGGATAACACACCCTCTACGCCCATTTCCTCATTTAAACGGTGATCTCTAAGGTCCCAGGAAGCTTGAATCTTTCATCAGAGGCTCCAAACACAATGAAATCCCTAGCAGTGCTTCCCTGACATCTGCCATTAGTCATAAATTGGTTCTGAGGACCTTCGATAAGTTAAAAGAGACTAAGAAATTTCTCTAGCAACACACTTCTCATCTCAGATCAGAAGCTTGCCTAACAATCTGACCTAGTACTTGCTGAGAACAATTAACACTTTTTCACAGTGGGAACCCGATATGGGGAGAATTAGTAAAGATGTCTTTCCCTCCTCTGTAAATGCAGAGATACATAATACAGTAGGATGGCCAATTTCCTCCCTAAAGAATCTGGGTGGATGGTATTGTCCATCTTTGAAATTCATATTCAATGATCTGAGTAATGAGATTGTTTAAACTAGAAAAACAATCTACATAGTGGCAGGTATCCATCTGTGAATTGGTAATGTGCCTGTGTATACACCACAGAATTTCAACTGTGTAAACACCATGTATAAGAAATGACACTATCCTGGGGTAGGGGAGGATGTTAGGTTTCTGTCTTCCTTTGATTTCAGTGTTTTCCAAGCTTTGTAGGATAAGCATGTATTACTTCTGTTTCTCCACATGCTGTGTAATCGGGAACTCTGAGCTCATGAAGGGCTTTACCAGAGAGCATTGTCAGCCAAGGTCAAGAGGGGATGCATTTACTTCTCTCAGGTGTCCTAGAGTTGTCACCGGTCTTAGACTTGCTTTGTTAATTTTTCAGTTTGGACATTCCTGGGCTGGGCAGGAAGTTCAAACTCCCAACCAATGTTAGTTGTAAGGCCGTAGTTAGAATTCTCTGGAGACTTCCTTTGCCCACCTACAGCCCAGGCAAAAGAGACATGTTTCTTTGTATTCTTCCTGTGCTGGTGGCAGACTTGTTCTACATCAACTTTTTATTGAGGGACAGGCACCCATTGAAGGGGCCTCTGCCATGTGTGTATACAAGGCTTTCCCTCATCCCCACACAGTATAAAACCCTGGACCACTCTACTCTGAAGACGGTATCGACTGAGGCATGCTTACAATGTCCACTTAGGTTTGTTTTTCCTTCTGACGCTTGATAACTTCCTTATGCAATTATGAATTTAAAAGGATATTTGTCATGTTGTAAACATTATTCTTAGGTACTTTGTAGAAGGAGAATTTTTAAGTTAGCTAGACTAACATACTGTCAGAGGCAGAAATTGCATATATTGCTTTTGTGAAGAAAAATAAACTTGAGTTTTCACAACAAATACCCACAGTTACCTGGGCAGCCTGAGAAAACAGTGAACGGTGGGACCACAGTCTCTGGGGGTAACACTGTGTTGTCAAGAATTTTGCAGCAGTCTTTCAACACACACCGACGCCCCTGAAATTAAAATCTTATTAATAGGAAATAGATCAGGAAATAAGAGTAAACGTTGTCTGCTATATGGAAGGTTATTTTATATTTTCTTCATTTGTGGTATCTTACAAAAGCCAGGGACAGTGACAAGAGGCTTGGCCAGAATTCCCTACTTCAGATGGTAACTGACAAGAAGGAAGAGGTAAGAATGTGAGCATCAGTGTATGTGATTATGTGTGTGTGTGTATATGTGGGGTGAGGGCTGTATGTTAGGGACAATTCAGGTTATCTTAGGCATTGTGGACTATGTGAAATTCAGTCTTCCAATGGCTCTGTTTAAGTTAATTCTTTTTTGTTAATTTAGTGGACATCTGTTTCACCTGCCCAGCATTTGTTCTCCTTTTGTCTTTTAACAGAACCTGCATTTCCCTTAAGAACTATCTCTATGCCCAGCTCAGCCCATGTTCTTCAATTCCTATCCCACACTCCAAACCCCAAGCTTGCCACAGTGACTGGCTTAGGGAATTGACACTTGAGCCAAAAATCAGTCTGATGAATATCAATGTTGGGACTTCAGCTGGGGGACCAGTGGGAAAAGAAGCTCTTCCCAATGAAGTTTCTAGAGGACAGGATGGAGCTGGGAGCAGCCATCTTGTTTCCATGAGGAAAGAGCCCTGCCTGAAAGCCTCCCAGAAAAAACATAAAAGGGAAGGAGATGGATTCTCATGACTTCCATTGAATCCCTAGAGCCACTTGTGCAGGAAATTAGAATTCACTTCTATACTTGTAATTTGTATTAACCTATCCATCCATCTGAAGGATTAGGCTGAACCTTATGCCTGTGTTTGCCCACTGCCACCAATTTTCAGTTCTGCCACCAACTACAGCATTCTGAGGGAAAGAGGTGAGGTCTGGGAAAGCCATCTGTTCCATGGGTTAAGGGCAAGGAGATGCTCCTGTATGCAGTTTAGAGGTATGCTTCAGGCTACCTGCTGTAAGTTTCAGTCTTGACTGACTTATGTTTCTATCAACAGGACCTGTGATTCATTGTGTTCTGGTCAAATGATCTCATGCAATATACCTAGCTGAGAATGGGGAACTTCTAACAAATACCAGGACAATGCTAACCTGTTAAGACCTCAGATTTTACCAAAGAATATGAAAGATACTTTCATTTGATTATGTCCAAATTTTCCCCATTACTAAGTACCCAAATTAGATGTATTTCCAGAAATTTCCAGGTAGGTTGCCAAATGAATTTTTACCTCTAAAAAGCTTGTACCTCTAAGATCTGAATTTCCTAAGCATCTACTAAGTTGTCTCCAGCTGTGTGGACAATATAGCCTTGGCAATACTTGGCAACAAGTACTTGGCAGCTTTAGCTCAGAAGCAAGTCATTACTGCAGCTATTCACCCTCCTTGCAAAGTTCTCCCCCATGAATTCCCTGATATTGTCAATTGCAAATATCCAGCAGATGATCAGCTCCCTGGTGAATTCCAAATGAACTCAAAGATGTTATCTAAGCTCCTAATAACTCAGACTAAGCCCATGGAGCCCTGACTAAAAAGGAAAGAGAACATGGTACAATACATTCACACACAGAGATTTATGCACAGTGGACTGTGACAAAGAGGAACAGGGGACACAAATCTTCTGTGTACCACTAGCCACCACACAGCCTGTATGCACCTGCTTTGTGCACTGGTTGACCATTCTGGCCCACTTAGAGAAATGATGCTCAACTGGGCTTCAAAGCATTCTGGGTAAATTAGATAGCAGCAAAGTAAGAAATGAAGGTGTGTTTTAGACATAATGGATGGGCAATAGCAGAGAAGGTTAACAGCTGAAACTGCTTCTTTATTCTTTCCTGGAGAACATTCCTGACGGGGTCAAGAAGTATATGTTGCTAGTATTAAGCTACCTCTATCTCCTGATGCAAGTTCTTCAGCATCTCTGAGCCTTGGTGTCCTCATCTGTGAAATGCCATAAAACCAACCTGCAGGGATGCTGTCAGGATTAGAGTGGTAAATGAACAACACACAGCACAATAACAGTGCCTACTAATAATGCCTATTGGGCTTTTCCTGCTGTCACCTGGGCAATCTGATTAATACCTACAACTTCATGTATCCAAACAGAAGCAGGACTATCAGGCACAGGATGCTGTAGGAAGGATCTGTGTGTCATGGGGCATGCCAGATTCTAAAAGAATTAATTACTGCTAGCTCTGAGATTCTACAATTCTTAAAAAATCTTTCTCCTCACATTACCTGAGAATCTATAAAGGCTCAGTAAATAAGTATCACTAATGCTGAACAATGACTATGTCCTGCAAGTGAACTGATATATTGAAAAGTGATCTGAGAATTAGAGCACCTGACCATAGGACTAGAATTCCCCAAGTATTGGGGATAGCATTTGGATTTGAACCTTTCAGATATTTGTTCTAGGGATAAAGGACAGGGCTAAAGGCTTATGCTGCTACAGTGATATCTTCTCTTTTCCATGGGACATACCAGAAAAGAGCAGCTGTGGTTTAGAAAGCCAGCTTTTGTCAAACAGAATGAGAAGACAGGGTGGATTTCACTATCTTTCTCTTCATAGCAGACCAAGCCAAAACTTTCTGTCTCTAATACTAGGAACTCTGGAAGAGAATACTTGGCAAAACCACTACTTCCCTTAATCTGAGCAACAAATCAGATTGGAATACTTTTCACAGCAATGTGGTTCTCCCCTCCACTGTAGCCTTTGCTGTGCCCTTGTGGCTCCTGGAACATTAACTGCACAGTTGCTGGAAGGTTTCTGATACTTGAAGGTTGAAGTCTTATCCAGAGCAGGGAGCTGGCTCTGTATTAATAGGAGTAGCCATTTAAAAACATGAATAAATCTTGGCTTTTTCTAGAATCTGGTCTCAGGTAAAAATTTAAAGTGTAGGAAATATTTTTCCTAAACACTTCAGCAGTTTGGTTCTGATAATTAACATTCTTATAAATCCTAACTAAAATCAAGTTCTTCATCTATGAAAATACCAAGAAATCTAATCTTGTGAAGCTTAGTGAGATCAAACTGATACTGAGGCTTCCATGCACCAGGGTCCTACAGGTTCTACTGAGCAAAGGGTTCCTATGCACCCTGCATGCCCATTATCCTCAACTACCTGCAATTCCCATGAAGTCATGTCATGTGGGACTCTGAGCCTTATATATGCCAAGCTCTTAATTGAAATGCCCATAATCCTGTCTATGAGCCAATTTTGCCTCACCCTTCACTCACCTGTCACCCCACCAGACTGTAGGATCCATGAGGTAAGGCAACAAGTAAGCCATATAGCAGCATGACCATTCATATTGCCTGGGTTCAAATCCCAGCTCCACTTAATAGCCTAATCAATCCTGACATCTAAGGTCTTCAGTCTCCTCATCTACAAACAGGGATAACAACAGCACCTACCATCCTCAGATGGCTGTAAGGAGTAAATGGAAAAATCCAAGGAAAGAGTTTAACATCATAGGGAATAGGTTTGATAAAGATTAGCCATGATTATAAATGCCTAGCAAAAAGCTCCAAATCCAATATAATGCCAATAGACCAGAAACTACTTCTACCCTGTTTGGTCAGAGAAGCAGAGGCTCACAGATGTGAGGGACAGGAGCTAGAGAGGAAGTGAGGCTGCTTAGCCAGCCAAGTCACCATACTCACAATCACACAGTTCTTGCCAACATGAACGTAAGAGCCAATCTGAGCTGCGTTGACCACACAATCTTCCTCAATAAAAACATGGTCCCCGATATGTAAAGGGAAGAATGCAACGCTACAGAAAGAAAAGAAGATGAACAAAGAAAGGTCAAGGTAACGTATTCCTCATCAAGGCTTACAGAACTACAGAACCTAAACTCAACTTCAACATCTTGTCTTGGTAAGACTGTTCCTAGCAAGGAAGAAATCCTCAGGCTAGGGAAATTGTATAATTCTACTAGCTCAAAATCAGAAATATTAGACCAAGGAAACAACAAGGCAGAAGGGGCACAATATTTTATGCTAAAAGAACCGGCACCAAATACAAATGAGTGAATGAATGTGCTCATCCCTGATCCCTTTGAAAATGCTCACAGGTCACATTTTTAGTCATCTGCTCTATAATATGTCAGGGGACAGACATCAGGTTTGTGGAATATAAATTCTAGTACCCAGTATTCTGAAAATGTATACACGCATTCATTTTATTGAGTGTCTATTATATGCCAGACTCTATGCTAGGAAATGGGGACACAATGGCAAAGATAAGCAATTCAATCCTGCCCACAAGGAGCTTACAATCAAGAGAAGAAATTAGCTTAAATAAGTAATTATACAGTAAGTAGTTAGTTACACAGTGAAAAAATACCATGTCATGTGAGTATATAACAAGGAGACTTGACCCAGAATGGAGGTTTGGTAAAAGCTTAATTGAAAGTGACATATAAAGCCCTGGCTGGCATAGCTCAGTGGATTGTGTGCGGGCTGCGAACCAAAGTGTCGCAGGTTCGATTCCCAGATAGGGTACATGCCTGGGTTGCAGGCTATAACCCCCAGCAACCACACACTGATGTTTCTCTCTCTATCTCCCTCCCTTCCCTCTCTAAAATTAAAAAAAAAAATCTTAAAAAAAAGAAAGTGACATATAAGTCAAGACTTGAATGTGAGTTAGTAGTAGGCTTTCTGCAGGCTTCTAACATTGTTCTCATTCTCTAGGATTCCTTAAGTGTCATGGAGAGTGGTTCATGATCATATTTACAAGTAATTTCAGTACCTTGGGATGGAAAATATTTGGACTGGAATGAATATTTTGTCAAAGATGACATCTGTCCTCCAAAGACCTATAATTTCTTTAAATTTTCCTGAATTCCATCTTATTTTTAGTCTAAAACACCTTGTGAGGCAATGAAGTCCTTGATCTCATCACAGTCTACAGCAGTACTGCCAGTTCTTTAATCTTAGTCAAAAATTCCAAACTTTATACTATCATCAGGTTCTAGTATTGGGACATGCATATGCATGGGAAGAAACCCACATCACCCTCTATTCAAGAGTTGTTGCTACTTATATTTTCATATTTCTATATTTCTCATGTGGACCATTCTTATTTACACATCCCTTCAACTCACCAACAAACCCCTTCTATATGCCAGACTCTATGCTAGGAACTGGGGCTACAATGGCTAGGATAAGCAATGCAATGTTCATCCTTAAAGCTTTTCTTGGACCATATCTAATCCAATAATGACTTTAGCAGAAGGTAAAGTTATTACCTTCTGCTAGAAGCACCTCTAGCAGAGTATCAATCACTGCATGAAACCACAAAAGGGAACCTACCACAAGGTTTTCTGGTTTCCCTCAATAGCCTACTGAGCTAATGAGCAAATGGTTTCCTGTGAATGATTTAGAGTGACTCCCTGCTCCAATCCCTATATATAATGGAAAGCCTGGAGCTGAATATCATTATGGGAGATGCAGGGTTATTCCTGCATGATATACTCCTAGGTATTAGAGTTAGTCTGAGTTAGCTACTATCTTCTTTGTTCACCCCTTACCTTGTTCATACCAATGTGACAGGAGTATCACATTATATAGTGGCAATCACATTATAGTAGCATATTATATAGAAGCTATGTGTTTATATAAATGTTTCTACCACTAGGTTTGAAGAACCTTGAGGCAGGAATGCTATTTTATCCATCTTTATATGCCCTGCTTATAACTTAGTGCTTGTTGAATTACTGGATGAAATGCTGATGGTGTTACAGGTAGAAACCAGGAGAATAAATTAGTCAAGGGGAAGAAAGGCAAAGAGGATACCAACACAGCAGGTATAGTAGTCAGTTTTCCTGTACTGTCCATGCTCTTTCTTGGACAATCTTTATTCCTGCTGTGAGATCAGTGGGCCTGACTTGACTTCCCCACTAGGTTGCAGCTGTTTAGACTAGGAGTGGACACTTAACTCATGCCAAGCCAATCAGATTCCCTCTCCCTTGAATCTGAAATAAGACCTAAGATCTCTAGTTGGTATCTGTTGGAAGCCTAAATGGAAAAATGATATAAATAAGGGGCTGAGACAGCAAGGTTGGCTCCAGGAGGAAAGAGGGAAGACACATCCAACCAGAGGAAGGAGAGGAAAGCAGAGGTGCAGAGAAGGACAGATAAGAGATAGTAATAATTTTGGAGAGAGTGAGTACTGGATATACAGAATAGTTGTCTTGATCCTGGCTAGCTGACTAGTTTTGAGGTCTAATCCCTCCTAAGGCCTCTCATATGGCTTGGCCTCTTTTTCTATCCTTAGGTTCCATCGAACATTCCTATGACTGTTTAATAAGAACCTCTTTTGCTTTTGCCAGCTGAAGTGGGTTCCATTTCTGGCAACCAGCCAACCTCAACTAGACTAGGGTGACTACCACTGCCTAAGTTGTGCTCATTATGGTGAATTGTTCCTCAGTGTCCCCAAAAACAGCATAGACCCAGTCCTTACCCCATAACTCAACAAATGGATAACACTATCAGTAGTAGCATCTTGCCCAAGAATGAAACAACATAATTAAGTTACATACCCTTTGCTGAATTTCTTGAATGGTGGCCTTATGACACTCCGACTCTTCACAACACAATGACGTCCAACTCTTACATTTGCCAGATCCCCTCGGATAATACAGTCATTCATCACAATGGTCTACAAAACAAAGCACATTTAAAAATTATCAGCATAGATGAAAACATAACAACAACAAAAAAGAGTAGGTAACAAGACACTGACTGAGACTTATGCTTTGATACACTGAGTCACATGTAAGGTTAAGTCCTTGTTTAGACCCTGATGTGAACAAACCAACTACAAAAGAAGATCTTAAGATACCGGAAAGACTAAATGTGGACTGAGGATTAGAATGACATTAGGGAATTACTTGTAAGAGAATTGCCCTCATAACACTGACTGCGTGGATTGCTGTTAAAGTTTGGTCTCGAAAGTCATGGAGAGTAAATTTTATCTGTGTTACTACATGGGTCACAAGGGCAAGTTTGGCCACAAATTCCTGGAATTTGAGTTCCAACCCAATGGGAAATTGACATATGCCAAAAACAGCATTTACAAAAATGATGTCATGATCAGAAAAGAGGCTTACATACATACAAGTGTCATGGAGGAACTGAAGGAAATAATAGATGACAGTGAAATTACCAAAAGAATGATGCTTTGTGGTTTCCTCCTGACCGAGTGGGCTGGTAGGAACTTAAAGTTGTCATTGAAAATGAACACATTTCTTTCACAATATGAAAAACTGGTTCCCTTATTGATATCAATCGATCCAAGGATCAGAATACTCACATGGATTTCATTATTTTGTCCAGGGCCTGAAGTGTTTGGTCTTCAGTCTTACTGGATTACACTTCAAGAGTAAACCAATCTACACTGAATACTGGTATGGATGCAAGAGGGTGGGAATAGCTGTTTTTAATTATCATTATCAGGAAATTTTTGTGTATATCAGGTCATTATTTTTTATACACTATAAAAGATTATCTTTAATAAGTACATAACAAAGTGCAACTTTTTCCATATAGTTTATTGATTATGCTATTACAGTTGTCCCATTTTCCCCCCTTCACTCCCCTCCAACCTGCATACCCTCTCCCACCCACATTCCCACTCTTCAGTTCATGTCCATGTGTCATATTTATAAGTTCTTTAGCTTCTACATTTCCCATACTGTTCTTACCCTCCCCCTGTCTATTTTCTACCTACCATCTATGCTACTTATTCTCTGCACCTTTTCCTCCTTTCTCCTCTTCCCACTCCCCTGTTGCTAACCCTCCATGTGATCTTCATTTCTGTGGTTCCGTTCCTGTTCTAGTTGATTGCTTAGTATGTTTTTCTTTTTGTTTTAGGTGTAGTTGTTAATAATTGTGAGTTTGCTGTCATTTTAGTGGACATGTTTTTTATCTTCTTTTTCTTAGATAAGTCCCTTTAACATTTCATATAATAAGGGCTTGGTGACGATGAACTCCTTTAACTTGACCTTATCTGAGAAGTACTTTATCTGCCTTTCCATTCTAAATGAAAGCTTTGCTGCATAGAGCAATCTTGGATGTAGGTCCTTGGCTTTCATGACTTGGAATACTTCTTTCCAGGCCCTTCTTGCCTACAAGCTCTCTTTTGAGAAATCAGCTGACAGTCTGATGGGAACTCCTTTGTAGGTAACTGTCTCCCTATCTCTTGCTGCTTCTAGAATTCTCTCCTTCATTTTTATCTTGGCTAATGTAATTATGATGTGCTTTGGTGTGTTCCTCCTTGGGTCCAACTTCTTTGGGACTCTCTGAGCTTCCTGAACTTCCTGGAAGTCTATTTCCTTTGCCAGAATGGGGAAGTTCTCCTTTATTATTTGTTCAAACATCTTTACCAGTTGTTGCTCTTCCTCTTCTCCTTCTGGTACCCCTATAATTCGGATGTTGGAACATTTAAAGATGTCCTGGAGGTTCCTAAGTCTCTCCTCATTTTTTTGAATTCTCGTTTCTTCCTTCTTTTCTGTTTGGTTGTTTCTTTCTTCCTTCTGGTCTACTCCATTGATTTGAGTCCCAGTTTCCTTCCCATCACTATTGGTTCCCTGTACATTTTCCTTTATTTCACTTAGCATAGCCTTCATTTATTCATCTAATTTGTGACCAAATTCAACCAATTCTGTGAGCCTGATCACCAGTGCTTTGAACTGTGTATCTGATAGGCTGGCTATCTCTTCGCCACTTAGTTGTGTTTGTTGTGAAGCTTTGATCTGTCCTTTCATTTGGGCCATTTTTTTTTGTCTTGATGAGCCTTTTCTGTAGTGAGGGGCGGAGCCCTAGGTGTCCACCCAGGTGGGTCAACCCAGTAGCTGGGTTGTGAGTAGCTGGGTTTATGTGGGAGAGGGGTCTGAGAGGGAACAATGGTGCTTGCTCTGCTCTCTGTAGGATTTCAGTCCCTTCCACTGCTTCCCCCAAGCAAACTGGGCCCTTCTGGTGCTGATTCCCTTGTGGGTGGGTTTGTGTACATTCTAGGACCCTGTGGGTTTCTCCAACGAATTCTCCTGTGAGGCTGGGAGTCTCTCCCAGTACCTCAACCCCCACAGGCGTTTTCAAATCGGTGTTTTGAGGCTTTACTTCCCCTCTCCGGGACCCTGGGTTGCACGGTCTGTCTCGCTCCCCAGTTTCACCTGGTTTATCTGGGCGCAAATGTGGGACCGCCCTGTCTGCCAGGCGAGTAGTGCACCCCATCCCTCCATGATCTGCTGCCTCACTGGCTCTGCCTGCTTCTGCCTTGTGCGTCCTGGTCTGCCAGCCACTGCTTGGCCCCAAGTCCTCTCCACCCGGCTGCCCAACTCGGTCCCTCCTACTGGTCTGGATGAATATGTCTTCTTTAACTCCTTGGCTCTCAGACTTTCATACAGTTCAATTTTCTCTTGGTACTGGTTGTTTTTTTGTTTCTAAATTTTGTTGTCATTTTTTTGGTTGTGCAAGGAGGCACAGTGTGTCTACCTACACCTCCATCTTGGCCGGAAGTAATTACAAAGTGCAACTTTTATTGTTTTAAAAAGATCTGAAAGTGTGGAAAAAAAAAAAACCTGCGTGCAGCTGAAGATGTTCCCCTGACACTACAAGCTTTACCCTGATCATCCTACAAATAGGTCTCACTGGATGAACAAACATTAACTGGGAACACCTCTAGTAGACTTAAGTTATGCACCTCCTCAGATTTACTCAGATCCACCTGTCCCCAAGGTGTGGCTGCTTGTTCAATGAGAGTCCTGGCTGCTCCTGCCTTTGTCTTATCTGGTAACACAACTACCTCCAACCTTTTACTCCCAGAGGTGGACTCACTGAGATTCTGGCTCCTCTCCCAGTTTTTGGACTCAGATTAATCTAAATGCTACACTGCAGGGTGTGGTAGCTGGCTTCCCCAGAAATTGCCCAGAGGGGTTAAATAACAACAGAGAAATCTGAAGAAACTAATTCCCCATACTTGGTAAAGAGTAGGCATTCTTGAAATATCTATTGAATAAATGAATGAATGTGGCAAAAAAAAAAAAAAAAGAAAGAAAGTGGATATGGCTGGGATTGCAACTGGAAACATAAACAAGGACTAAATTATAAGGAATTATGTACACTGCTCATAGAAGCTTAGATTTTTTTTTTCTTAGAGGATATATGTAAAGAATCAATGATGGGGGAAAGGCAGAAACTGTACTTTAACAACAATTAAAATTAAAAATGTAAAAAAATCAATAAAAGATATTAAGCTGAGGATTTAAACAAGTGAATGTTCATTTTAAAAACATTACTCTTGAAGCTGTCTGAAGTCTGAATGAAGGAGGCAAGAACTTTCACTGGAGGTAAAGTGATTCTTTAGTTGACTACAGTTGATGAAGGTAAAAAGAGATAATGAACCTTATTTAGGCAGCTGTAAATGAAAATGAAAATAATTGGAGGTACAGGAATCTGACCAAGCCTCCAGATCTAACTACCAATTTACAGGGAGGAGGTGGGATAGAGACCTCATTAAACAACCCCATGTAATTATAATCAGCCAAATTCAGAAATCTGAAAATCCTACATAAGAGTGATCCAGTTTCCTCAATATAAAAATGGCAAGGGGTAAAAAGGGGTAGAGAAAAAGAACTGTGACAGATTAGAAAGACTTAAGAGACACAGTAAGCAAACACAATGTGTACTTGACCTTATTTGGATCCTGTTTTAAATAAACCAAATGTAGAAAGAGATCTTGAGATACTAGAAAAACTGAACATGGACTGAGGATTAGATGATATTAGGGAATTAATGGTTTGGTTTTTTTTTAATTATAATAAGGGTTCTCTACTATTCTTTAAACATCAGTGAAACATATTCAAAGTACGTATGGGTGAAGTATACAGTGCTTGCAATTTGCTTTAAAATAGCTCAACTCCCTTCCCCAACCCTGGTCAAAAGAGGTATGGGTTTGGGGAGGGTCAGTACAGAGATGAAATAAGAATGTCAGAATCTTGCTCATTGTAGAAGCTGGTGAATTCATTATATGTTCTCTCTACTTTTGTTCATGTCTGAAAAGTTCCATAATAATAATGCTCATCTAACAAGGAATGAACTACTAATTCACTAATATATGCAAGAACATGGGTAAGTCTCAATAACCTTATGCTGAGTGAAAGAAGTCAGATATCAAACATTGCATGACGCCAATTACATGAAACTCTGGAAAATACAAAACTAACCTATATCAGTTTTACATCAATGGTTACCTGGAGCCAAGGACAGAAGGACGGCTGACTGAAGAAGGCACAAGTAAACTAGGGTGATGAAAATATTTTTTTAAATATATTTTATTGATTATGCGATTACAGTTGTCCCATTTTCCCCCCTTCACTCCCCTCCACCCTGTACACCCTCTCCCACCCATATCCCCCCCTTTAGTCATGTCCATGTGTCATACTTACAAGTTCTTTAGCTTCTACATTTCCCATACTATTCTTACCCTCCCCCTATGTATTTTCAACCTACATTCTATGCTACTTATTCTCTGTACCTTTTCCCCGTCTCTCCTCCTCCCACTCCCCTGTTGCTAACCCTCCATGTGATCTCCATTTCTGTGGTTCTGTTACTGTTCTAGTTGTTTGCTTAGTTTCTTTTGGTTTTGCTTTAGGTGTGGTT